TCAGACTCACAGTGAACCTCCTATCTCAGCCTCCCCAGTACTGGGATTATAGGCATGCAATACCAGGAATCGAACCTGGATCCTTGCCCTTGCCAGGCAGGTGCTTAGATCACTAAGCTATCTCCTCACCCCCTATGAAGTGGGTTTTAACCTTTCATTTTTGGGCATTTGGAGGCTCTACTCTGAATCAAACTCCCATCATAAGTAGAATTTTTTGCTTTTAAAACATTGATAGCTTTTTTCTTTTTTTTATAGTACAGCTTTTCAAATGATTTCTCTGTGATTCATGTAACTTAGAACTGCTTGTGAGTTCTTGGCAATTGAGGTGCATATTGAGAAAATGCTGTGAAGTGAGAAAACTCTAACTCACAAAATTGTTCTCAAAAGTAATGGAAAAGTTGTAAGCCTTAATATAACAATTAATCAAGTTGGTGGATGTTGTTTCCTAAGCTTTTGTCTAATTCCTAATTTGCAGCTTTTGCATTTCATGTTTTAGAGCCAGATTTTTTTTTTTTTTTTTTTTTTTTTTTTTTTTTAAATTCAACTCTCAAACATTCTCACAGGCCCTGGGCATTCTGCCTATAGTGCCTAATAGAGAAAATGGCCCTGCTCAGAAAACCCAGAGTGAAAAAGAGCAATGAAATTAAGTAAACGTGTCAGTGGGTATGATTCCCAGCAAACTCCGAGAGATCTTTTCCACCCTCTGCTGAATTCCTGCAGAGCAGAGTGGTGCAGGCCAGGGGAAGAGCGCAGCGTGGGCTGCAGGGCAGCATGTGCCTGTCGGCATACAGGGAGAAGCACAGCAAGGCCGAGGCAGGCACCGCAAGCCTGAGGAGGACAGCGCAGGGAGCCAGGGAGCGCGGCTTGGAAGCCTCTGCTCTGCTGGGCACGGTGGCCGGTGTTTTCTATATACTCTTCCATTTGATGCTCCCTTGAGGGGAACAAGGTGACCCCCTTTTTACAAAGCTGAGAGAGCAGCAGTAACTGGCCAAAAGATACACAGCCAGGGAGACCCAGAACCAGGAAGCAGGCAAAGCCAGGGGCCCAGACTGTCCCAGGAGCCAAGGTGGCCCCCTGCCTTGAGGAGTGGGCGCTGTGTGTGTGTGTGTGTGTGTGTGTGTGTGTGTGTGTGTGTGGTGCTGACTTTGGAAGTGACGCGTCAGTGTCAGTGTCAGTGTGACAGCGAGAACAGCAGGGTGGGTGGAGGCTGGAGTTTCCCAGAAAGCAAAGCTGAAACGACACTCAACAGAATTCACTGACTTTTCTTTTTTAACTTAAATGATTCACGGGTAGAAAAAAGCCTTAGTGAATAATGCTTCAGAGCCCAAGCCTACAACAGCATGGAGGGAACTTGAACCATGGAAAGTCCCGAAGCACAATCAGATTGGAACATTTCCAAGTGAACTTCATGGCCCTTTATAGCATTTCTCAGCATAATCCTGGGTCACCTCCCACTGACTAATGGGGGTTCTATCAGTGCAGATTCCTGAGCACCTCCAGCCCCCAACCTACTGCATGAAAATCTGAGGGAAGGGCCTCGGGATCTGTGTCAGGCTCACTCACCTTCTCTACCTCTCGAGGTGACTCGTGTTCACTAAAATTCTAAGCCTATACTGAAGTGATTCAGAACAAGGTGCCTGGCCTCCTTGTTTTCTTGTTGAATAGCTTTTGAGCACAGCAGCTTAAACCCCAGGAACATCTAGTTCCAGGTTTACCATCAGTTTACAGATGACAAATTAGAACAGCAAACGAGCAAGGCAGAGAAGAAAACTAAATGAAAGAGATCAGAAGCAAACTGCTTTAATTGCCAACCTGGTCAGACTGCTAAAAGTAAATGCAAAATAAAGCAAAGCAGAACAAAAACACCACCATGCCCAGCGCTGCATTGAGAGGCTCTCCCGGCCTTGGCTTCGGGCGTCCGTACTCTCCAACGCCTGAGCCGATGCTGTGCAAAGACCGGGGCCGTCATCTTTAAAGCACTAATTGGAATCAACATCACTGCTTGCAACTAAATCATTTATACTAGGAAAGGAAGGATGAAGGAAGGAAGGAAGGAGAAATAGAGGGAAGGAGGAGGTGAAGGATGAAGAAAGGATGGAAGGAGGAAATGATGACAGGAAGGGAAGAGGGACAAGAGGAGAAGGACAAAAAGAAACGGAAAAGGAAGAAGAAAGAAAAGAAGCAGGAAGAGGAAGAAGAAAAAGATAAAGGAGGGAGTGGGGGTAGAACCCTGTGGTCCGGGGGAGGTGGGCAGAGCTTAGGTATCCTAGTGACACATGAACAACTAAATGCTTTGGAGGGGAGTTCCGGGTCCAGTGGAGAGCTTTTGCATTTGGCAGGGAAGGAACCAGGACCAGACTCTAGCCCTCCCTCACAGCCTCAATGCCACCCAAGACCTCAGCTGTCCTAAACTCCTGCCCCAGGCTTCCCTGTGCTTTTACTCATAGTCTGTTCTGGAAGTTGGGTGGCACTGGCACTGGCCTGCCTTTTGTTACATAAAAGCATGTCTCTCTGAGCGGAGACTTAAGGAAACCATGCACAGAGAGTGTGAGTCCCTGAGAGTCACTCGGCAGCCCAGTCCCTGGACTTCAGGCAAGCGGACAGCAGGTCAGAGTGTCTGCCCTCGGACTCTGAACTCCTTAGCGCGGTTACAACACGAGGCAAGGAGGCTGAAGTTTCAAGACTTCTCGGACTTGGATCTGAAAAGGTTGAATCTAAAAAGGAAAACATGCCACTATGCTGCCAAAATAAACTGTGACGAAAGTTTGGGCCCACCACCTTTCAGCCAAGCATTTCCTGTTCTGGTCTCCCTGTCTGCCTGGTACCAGTGCAGCCCGTGGAGGGAGAGCTATTTTTAAGGTGAAAGCAATCAAGACTAAGAATGAGAGAAGTTACTTATTTATAGTTACACCTTGCAACTGTTCTTTTCCCTCTGGCCGTGGAGGCCAGGTTTGGCTCTCCCTCTGCATCTGAAATCCCTAGGGTAGGACGGACTTTGAAGGTCAAGGCTTTGCCCATGGACCGCTGCCCTGGAAGTACATGCTAGAGAGCTGTTCACCAGTTCCTGAAGAGCTTCTCCACATGGACATATGCAGGTTATGCGCCCTGGAGAAGTGTTTTGTTGAAATACATTTTTGTATAAAAGGTAATTAGAAAATATATTCATGGTTTTGTTATTGAAAGAAATCCAACAATAAATCTCTACCTTTTTTCTCCCAAAGTAATTCTAGTATCATGGAAGTAGATATGGCCTAATTTACTTGGGTTTGTAAATTCAGCCTTCACACTGGATTTCCTCGAGGCAAGGCACATCTATACTGTTCTGAGTGCCAGCAAGCTTTGCATGGTATCAGACTCTATCCTTCTTGTTATAACTTGGAGCTAATTTCTTGCTCTATTAAATGAGGTCTTTATTTTTTATTTTAGGGAAGGGTCTACAGGGTGTTCTGGGTCTCACTACTAAATCGGACTCTTAGTGATCTGCCTGTTCACAGCCTCTCAAGAGCTGAGATTATAGGTGTGTGCCACCACGCCCAGACTCAATTGCCATCTCAGCACACCCCAGGGGGCTGGTCCTCACAGCAGGCCTGGGGATCAAACCCCGGCCCCTGTGCCTGCTTGCAGGCACTTTAATCCGCTGAGCTATTCGGCTGGCCCTGAGGTCATTCTTAATACCAAACTTAGACTCACTGGAACTTGCTAGTGAATGAAAGAAAACCTCCTTTGTAATGTGCATAATCGTGGCTTTGCATCCATAGATCCGCTGGCATTATTTTCTTCATTTCACGGGTAGCTACCTGACACTACTGCGTTTTCACATAAGCAGTGTGAGAGCTCTGTTCACTTTTTAATTCATCACGGTATCACTAGCAACGAGAATGTACTAGCTGTTCAGCAGTCATCACTTAACAAGTTTCTATTATTCTAAATTGTTAAGTATTGGGGATTATAAAGACTATGGATGAGCACCCCCCCACCCCTGGCGCGCTATAGTTTGAGTATTCCCTAAGGGTCTGTCGTGATTAAAGGATCCCAAGATGGTGTTATGGGGAGCAGGGCCTGGTTGGTGGTGTCAGGTTGCTGGGGGCACGTCCTCGGAAAGGACTGTGGGACTCATCCTCTCTCTCTCTGACTTCCTGTTTGGTGATATAAGCTCTTGCACACACGTGCATCTCCATCATGAAGTGACTAGAATCTGAGAGAACCTTTGTGTGAATGAATACCAGTGCCATGCCCGTGAATAGTGAAAACATTGAATTTAATAAACCACTTTGTTTTATAAAGTTAATTGCTTTGGATATTTGGTTATAGTGATGAAAAGCTGACTAATACATCACCTTTCTCTTGGTATGCCCTTTTCAAAAAAAAAAAAAAAAATTAAAGTCTTCCTAAGTATCCAAACTCCACTATTTTCGCTCCCTGCTCTGGGTGTTATTATAAGAATTATTTCAAGCACATGCGTCCTTTCTGAAGCTCTTACTGTATGTGTTTTAGATGAGTTCAACTTTAAGCTTAGAATCTTAAGGAATAGGTTTATGTGCATGAGCTACTCTCAGCTTTTGTCTCCCTCTACTTTTGGTAGCTTCTTTGTCCGGCCATGCCAATGGGGTCACGATTCAGCTTTGGCCAATGGGGACCCTTGTGGCATCACTGTGCTTATATAAGATGAGGTGCCTTGAACTACTCCAGGAAGAAACAGAAATTACTGGAGGCTATTTGAGAACAAAATTCAGGTATAGAAACACATGTATCAGAAAGAGGCATTGAAATAATTTTATGACCCAGTATGACCCAGAATGACACAGGAACTTTAACTGTAGATAAATAAAACTTGGCACATGGTAATTCAAGGATTGTTTTTGATTGAGAAAGGGCCAAATGATGCAAAGATGATGCCGGAATTAGGAAATTGGGTATATTTACATTTGGGCACTTTACAGTACTATTTTGGGAACATTTCTATTGTTCCAAATGTAGTAGAATTCCAGTTAGTCACTTACCTTTTTACTTAAGTGGGGACCATTGGTGCCCCCAGTGCTTCTCTGTGATGGTGGCACTTGATACACATCTTGTTCTTGAGCAGCGTGGCCCGTGGGTACTTGGTAAATTCCCTGATTCTGGTAGGAAGGTGGCACTTGGTAGACAGTGTCACGAGATGCTGCCTGTGAGTTTGGCACTTGGTAGAGCATGTGTTGGCCAAAGGGCTGGTGCTTGGGTCCAGAGATAGCCGGTTCATGATTGGAGGGGGTCTCCTGCACAGGACCAATCAGAAGCTTCACCCGGTTGCCAGGGACAATGCCTTGCCGACCGTGTAGGGAGCACAGCCACCATCCTTCTAGACCCCCAGTATTCTGCTCAATGACAGTCAGGATGTCTCCCTTGCGAAAGGCCAGTTCCTCAGCACATTCTGGAACATTGTCATATAAGGCTCTTGCCATAAGATTCTAGGAAGGGAAGAACAGAAGAAAACGGTGTTAGAATATTAGCTCAGTGCCTTCAACACCTAGAGCCCAAGCTCTCAGGCAGAGAAACACTTCCTGGAAAAAATGAAGAGTAACTTGAACAATAGCCTATAAGGAGCAAAACAGATGGTGCAGACAAAAGACAGATACACACATACTGCGCCTGCCACCACTGACATCAGTCTGCCTCCTCGGAAAACCTCAAAACACCAGAAGAGTTCTTTCCTCTAGAGGTTGACACTGTGCCAAGGAATTATGAGTAGCTGCTAAAGAGTTAGTGAATGGTTCACTACACAGAACAGTTTTCTTCCTTTTTAAAAGTGAGCTTAAGGGGAAAAAATATTCCAGGCTATTCAGATGCACCACACTGGGCATTTCTCAGGGTTTTTTCCATACACTGAGGTAAAAAGACTCAAGGAAAACCCCAAATAATGCACTATAAATGACATTTATATGCAGTGTTGAAATGCAAACAAAAGTAAACTTCTATGTGCCTTGGCAAGGCTTAAAGGATCTTATTTGCAGATAGTAAAGATGCTTTTGGGTATGGGGGAATCGACAGGCAAGATGTATAGATGTGGCATAATGCCTGTGTGTGGACGTAGTGTGACAGTCATTGGTGTCTACAGATTTGACAGTGGAGAACCAGGTAGATGTCAACTCTTTCTCGTTTGGTCTTTTTCTCCTACCTCTCTCGAGGACCCTTCCTCCTTCTGTCACTTTATCACCTACTTTGTAAATCTCGCCATTCCCATCTGAAAGCCCCTGCTTCCCCCTCCACGGGCCCCAAACACTCTCCCTCTTTGTATTAAGGCCTGTCTGGCACATTCAGTACTAAGCAGACAGCCAAAGTAGGCATTCAGCAGAGTGGGCAGGCAGTACGTGCTGACATTCCTGGAAGGGGTTCAAAGACTGCAGATTTCATTTCTTGGCGTGAGGAATGGTTCCCAGCACGCGGGCTGCCGTTACCGCACGCCTGCCCCTTCCCAGTGCACAGAGAAGTCAGGCAATGTTGTAAATTCATCGCAGGCACTCAGAAAATGAGAAGTGATCTCTCTAGTGCATTTTAACATTTGTTAAAATGTTTGGATGCACTTAGTGTCATCGCAGTGGGGTCATTTATGGACGAAAGAACTGCCGACTGGCTGGAGCATGGTTAGGGCTTTATTACACACCATAACGCATTTGTGGAATTTGGAGCTGTTTTTATTTGGAATTTGGCCCCCTGTTTTCTTCTCTTGAAATGTGGGCTTGTTTTTTTCAGCCTCATGTCTTCCATTTCTTTAAAATGGACACACATTTATCGTTGCCTCTGTGCTCGGCCCTTAACCACAAGGCTAGCACTGCAGGTCGTTGTCTCTTAAGGAGTGGAGTGGCCGGGTGTGTGTGCGGGATCTGCCCTCAGCACAGGGTTGGGAAGAGGTCCAATTCCACCACTGTTCACCAGAATCCTTTCAGTCAACACAGCTACTTAACATAAGGAAAAGCGGGAGAACCACAGTGCTAGTCCTGGGAGGTTTCCAGTGTGAGGGTCTCCCAGAAGAGGACTTCAATGCTCAGAAATGATGAGATCCGGGAATTCTGTACCTACCAGCTGAACAGTAAGGAAAGCTAGAAGGAAGCTGACGAGTGTATGTTTTGGGTGAAACCTTTACTTAGTAGTTACATGCTAGGGACCCCTGGTTCCCTCTAACAATGGAAAAGTGCACATTCAGAAAGATAAATACAGCCCATCCTGATTGGTGGAACCATTTTAGGATGTGTCATGATCCTAAAATTACCTATGTATCTTTCATCTTTGTGTGTTCAGTAATTTAAAGATGGGCCATAGAGTTACAGAAGACAAAGTTCTGGTCCTTTGTACCAAAATGATCTCAGGGAAATACTTCCACCCAGCTTGTACCATGCCTGGAGAGCCAGGAAGACTCTGGCCACTCTGGTCTCTGTCCCTTTCTCCTGTGCCCATTCACAATAATTGGGAATGGCTGGTAAGGAAAGCCCTCAAGGAAATCAGAAGTCATCCAGTGGAGGACAGGCGTATGGGAGCCAAGGGTTGATGGCTGTGCAGTTATCTTGGCTGCAGAGAAGGGAAAAGAAAGAAACAGCAAACAGTGGACAGGCAGAGGGCTACAGACCAATCAGCAGAAATCAGGGGAGGCATTTGGGGCTGGGTCACTTCCAACTCTGCCGAACCCCACAGGCACTGAGGAGAGAGCCAGACTGGGCTTGATTAGAGGCGGATAGAAATCCCCAGGAGTCCTGCTGGAGGCTCTTTGTCTCTGTCCCAGTAACCTGCCTCACAGGGAAGCTGCATACTCCTATCTCCCAGAGCCCCAGAAGCTGCTCCTGGTGGGTTTGCAGGGCCTCTGGTCTGTGCTAAAGTGAGCCCTGCAGTGAGTTCTCCTGCCTTTCTTGCAGCTGTCCCCACTGCCAGGGGATCTGTATGCAGAAGAAGCTTGATGTGGCTGCTGACAGCGGACCTCCTGTGGCACCGGCCACACACCAGCTCACATGCAGAGGGCCATCTCAGCGTTACTTAATCTCTGTAGCACAGCCTACAGAGAAGCAATTTCTGCACTAAGCCACCCTTCTATACAGAGGGCCTCTGCCTTCTTGTGCCTGTCTTGTGAGTTTGCTAGAGGTTTAAGTGAATTAATTTAAAAGAATTGCTTCAACAAGCCAAAGACTTAGCAGGCTCTGATGCGCTCTTACCTTTTTTCCTTTGATGGATGGCCCTTCACTTCCTGGCTTCCCACTAACTCTGCCTCCTCTAGCTTCTCAGTTAAGAACTAAAGATGCCATTATGTATCCCTACAAACAACAATAATGAAACCAGAGACTTTTGGAGGCAACGTAATAGTAATAATGAAGATAGGGTTGAGGATATTACTAGGCAAAACCACGAATGAGGAGCTCAACTTTTGAAACTACTTGCTGTTGGGTCAAGGGCTCAGTAAGAAGATGAAATACAAATTCACTTTACCTGGAATACAGCTACTGCCACTCAAGACTACGCTAACTTCTTAAGTAGGCAGAGGGATAGTTAATTCTTCCACTAAGCAGGAAAGGAGGAATGTTCTCCCTTAGAGCAAAGGTGGAAGTCCTTGAGGCCACAAAGTCAGAAGCTGGTTCCCTGACTATTGTAGAAAATCCCCAGAGCAGCAGTTGTCTATTCAGGATCTACTTTTTGTCAACCTGGAAGACCCTTGGATATTTATCTCCAGGGGAGGAAAGGTCAACCCAGAAACAAATCAAGGAGAGATAAGAGCACTGTGTAACCCTATACCCACCTGGAGGTGAGCCTCCCAGCCGGCGGTTAGAGGCAGCTAGGGCAGAAGGGTTGGGGTAGGGCACAGGACCTGAAAGCTGGAAGGGATCTGAGACAATTAGAGTCCAACTCTGTAACTTCACTAATAAGAAAAGGAGGCTCAGGAAGTTAATGAGTTGCCAACTTGCCAGACAAGAAAGTCTGAGGACTGGGATCAGTAACCAGGCCTCCTACCTCCACCTCAGAATTAGGATAGCATTTCGTGAAGTCAAATACATATGCTAGAGAAGTTGTTGCTCTACTCAGGGCTGGATATTGGTATTTAGGGCCCTAAACCTCATCTTGTGGGCATCCTCACACCATGTTTTCTAAAAACTCTCCCTTTGGCTTTCACAGCACCACTTCCTAGCTCTGCCTCTTTTGAGCCTGCACCCCCTGCTCCTGCACAGACTGTTTCCCTACATCTATGAGATCATGTCCAAAGAATCTTTCCTTTGCACCTTTCTACATGAAGCTCATCGCTGCAAGGGCATCAGGACGCAGACAACAGCCAAATCCACACGCCCTTCCGCAGTTGCCTAACTACAGGGCATCTAACCAAAGAACCTTTTCAGTTAGAGCTTTGGTCAAAGGGTCTGTAACTCACCATTTGCAAACAACTTCTGCCTGGCTTCACCAGTCTGTTACTGCAGCATGCAGCCGCAGGAGGCAGGAGCCTCAGCTTCTCTGGGTCTTTCCACAACTTGAAACCCATCAGCAGGCTCTGCAGGCCCTCCTACTGCCACTCCTCCTCCTCGATCACCTCTTGCAGCCCCCTCCCCAGCATAGAAATTATTGCCCACTCAGTTCTCTTGAATTTAACATCATTCCACTAAAAACCTATCTTCTATATAACCACAAGAATTAGCTTTGCAAAATCTATCTGGTTCTTTGCCTTTCTTTGCAGCGTGGCTTTCTTGCACCCCACTCAAGTCTGTGAAACTTCAGAGCAGGGATTCTGTCTTATTCTTTTTGCATTTCCAGAACTTTAGCTCGGTGTTTGAAACGAAATACATGCTCATACTGTGACTGCTAAATTGAAATGGATTCTGGCTTCCGATGCTCTGCTTCTCTGCAGGGAGGTTGAAACTGCTTTTCTAGAGAATTCAGCAAGACATTTGCTTAACGCTTTCAGGTGGAAGTATGGAAGGTAGATGAACTAAGCGCAAAGATGAATGTCGTGGTCAAGTCACTTGTCATTGGAGCTTCACTGGCAGAGTATGGGAGCCAGCAGGCAGGAAAGGCCTGCCTTTCCCTGTTTAAACAGGATAATGACGCAGATGGGGCAGCCCAACCCCTCTGAATCCAGGGTTCACAACTACTGAGCAAACAGGAAAGCCAGGAGGAACTGACCATCGGCAAGACAAAACACAATGGTCTCTTTAAAGGGCTGTCTTTCTCTTTAGAGTGGCAATCTGCATCTGGTGGTAGGTGACAGAGCCCCATTCATGTCCTTCACCAGAACACTTTGCTTCTGCTGTTCCTGGTTTCCAGGCAGTGCCTGAGGAGCAGGAAGAAATATGGTACAATGGGCCAGAAGGGCCAGCACAGAGACAGGTGACACAGCGACTTCTACCCCTCTGTCCCCCTCTAATGCCTCCCATCTTTTTTCTTTTTTCACTGCTATCAAAATGTCATGAAAGCTTCTTGCTCACACTACCAGGGAAATTATCTA